GATTTTGGCAGGGTTTATATTTTTAAATCAGGGTCCCTGATTTCTAGCTTCAGCCGTTTCCAGCATCAGCCGCGACATTTATTTATTTATTTTTATTCAGTTCATTTCAGCATTTAGCATGATTATTCAATGTTCGAAGTCTTAAAATCAGCTACAGTCAACTTTGGATTTAAAGAACCTTTTTATAATGAACTCTGGATATAACAAACTCAAAATTTTTAAAAATTAATCTTAGTTCGGTATAACAAGAGCTGCAGCTCTTAAGAAAACATAGTAATTCTATATAACGAACTTTTTTTTTGGCCAGAATCTAGGGTTCGTTATAGAATGAGTTGACTGTATTTAATTATTCAGCAAGAAGTATTAAGTTTATTTATTAATCAACATATTCGAAGTAATCTATTCAATACGAATTTCTTTCACACCTTAAGTTTATAAATTACTTCTTAGTTAGTTTTTTTAATAATCAGTAAGTTTTATAGTCAAAGTATTTGGGATAATTTATTCAACTCTAATTTTTTCTTATCCATGCTGATTTAGTTGGTAGATTATTAATAATTTATTCAAATTAAATTTCTTCTTATTCATGCAAATTGATTCACTAACTTTCAAATTATCAGACTTAGGCCCACAAAATTAATAGAGAAAGATGATTAAATGTGATCAAATACAGTTAAAGTTTAATTGATCTATTTTTTTCATGGATAAATGGTTTAACAGTTTTAAAAAAAAAAGATGGTGTGTTTTTAGAAAATATTATGTAGAATCAGATTCTTCAAGGACCAAATTCGGTAAGGTGAAAGTTAGTTAAATCAATTTACATGTTTTCACTTTCTGTCACACATTTCTCATTCAATTTCTTACTCAAATTGATTAGTCGGTATATATAATAGTCATTTATTAATTGAGGTATTGAAATAATTTATTTATTAATTTTTTTATTTATGTCTGATTTAGCAATATAATATTTCTCATTTAATCTCTTACTCCAGTTCACTTAGTTGGTATATATAATTATTATTTATATTAGTTAAGGTATTTAAAATAATTTATTTAATCTTATTAATTTTATTCAATACTTTTTTTTAAAATATTTAAATATTATAGTATATATGAATTTGATCAATAATGGTTAATTAAAAAATTCGATTGATATTAGCTAATGCAACCAAAAAGTATGTTTTTTATTGCCCGACTTTTGAGTGCCTTGCTGATTACGAGCCTGCAAGACTTCTTCGCATTCACCAACTGCTTTTACAAATGGCCTGACTAGGGTATCAAAATTTTTTACAAAATTGTCATTATCTATTTCTCTTTTATACAATTCTAATGCTTTTTCAAATTTCTTTGCATAGTAGATATATTGTTCTTGTCTTTTTTCTATTTGATTTTCCTGTGTTATTACTGATATATTTTGTAAATTACTTGAGTTACTTTTTACAATAGGATCTTTAACATAATTTGCTTCTGAAGTAATTATACTAGCTGTTTTTTATGGATTATTTTCTTGAAAGATTGCTGGTGGTTTATAATTTTCAAAGAAAATTAATAGATAATCATGCCATCTTGTTGTTTCATTAAAGATAGGCCAAAAATTCTTTTCTTTCTTTGCAATTAAATGCTTGCAAAGAAGATAACAGCTATTTATATATGCTGGGCAAGAACATATCCAGTTATTTACATCCATATGATATCTTTTATCTATATTAAACATAATATCTGAAGATCTAGCCTTATCCCAGTCTTTTTTGAATGCTTGTCACCAAGATGAAAAATAACAATTCATTTTATAGTGAGATAGCATAAGGTCGAAATCTGGCACTAGTTGTTCAACAAGAATGTTGGTAAGATAATCAAGTCAGGACCAATTATAATTATACTTGTACTTATATTTAAGCACTTGCCAGTGACTTTTGGTAATCATGGTAGTTCAAGCTAAAGGCATTGCAAGAGGATATAAAGAATGAGCAAACATCGTCCAGTCTTTTCTATTATACTAATTTAGCCAAAGATACCTCACAATTTACAACATTTATAATTGTAGCAGAAAAAATATATTTCTTTTACACAATAGTAATAAATTTGAACTGGGTTCCAAAATACATTCTTTTCTATTAGAATTAATGAATGCATATTTGCATGCCATTTAATTATATTAATAATTTCTTTTGATACTTCTTCTGAATATAGGCTTTTAATACTGCCAGTTGGAATTCACAATAGATCTATAAAACTGAATTGTTGATGAGCTTCCAATGCTTTTGCTATAGTATAAATATTTGATCATAGTTTTTTGTCTTTCAAATGGCATGTTCTAAATGCCAATAGCATAATTGAATGTTTGCTTTCCATCAGGTTTTACTAACAGCTAAAATTTGGCCTGCATCTTTATCTGAAGTACAAATGAATATAACAATCCTTCTTGATGAAGGTTAATAAAGAATTTTTAAAGAACTTGTGCACGAGTAATAACTCCGTCTTTAGGATATTGGTATGCTACTTTGATATTATCTGATACTAGTAAATATAAATATGCAAATGGCATACCATATCTACCACAATTAGCATTTATAATGAAGAGCTCAAATCGTTCTTGATTTGTTTTAAATGTAGAATCTACCACGACTTCATTTATCTTTTCAACACCAATTTGACTAAGTAGTGGAGTAGTAAATCCTAAAGCCCGTATAAAATTATTGTCAAAATAAAAAAGAATTTTGAACCCTCTGGCTGAAATTTCAGGACATTCAAGATACTATTTAGTTAACAAAAGCTGGTTATCCTAATTTGTAAGATATATTTGCTTGCTATAAAATAATATCTAATAATATACTTGTTCCTTTGTATATATTAAATTAATTAAATTATTTTCAATTAGATATCTATATATATCTGAGCTTCGCATATTATAATTAAGATGTTTTTGAATTCATCATTTTGCATCTTCTGGGAACTCTGTTTGCCGGTATGATGGATATTTATGTAAGCACAAGTGCTCACATTTTACACTTGCATATTGTTGAAGTATATTCATATTAACAGTAATTTTGGCTTTATAAAAGAATCGTTGTATTGCAGAATGAGCTTCACTTCATCTTTTTATTTTCTGATTATCTAGTTTTTGCCAACTTCTGTCATTACGAGACGCATTATGAAGATATGCTGTAGCACTTCCTACAAATTCTTTTTTTTAAAATTTAAGCATAGTTTTCACATTTCCTAATAATATTTAGACCCAGATTCTAAAGGTAAAATAAGGATTTTTATAAGTTGAATAAAGTTATTTTTAATTTGTTCTAAATTGAATGAATCAGTCTTAAGATCATAGTTAAGTGCAACAGCATTTAAAAGCCCCAAATCTAATTCAATTTCAAAAGCAAATTTTACAGGTTCATCAAATAACTCAGCATTTCGAAACTGTGCTGAGATATATCATTCTACTTCATCCATACAATATATAAGTGAATCAACATCATCATCATGTTTTGTTATTTCTGTTATTTCTATCAGATTTGCAAATTCATTATTAATTTCAGATATTGATTCATTATTATAGCTTTCAAGAATGTTGATTTAATGAGAATCCAAAGTATCAGTTCCAGAAATAGAAGTACTAATAGTTAAAACTATTATATTAAGGCCAGTGTCTATTTGTTTAATTTACTTCATGGTCTCTAAGAATATTTTTGATTTGAAGAAAATCTGAAGCATTAGTTCTAGAAGTACTAACAGTTAGAACTATTATATTAAGGCCAGTTTCTGTTTGAATTTTATTTGTTTGATTTACTTCTTTTCTCTTTTTACTACGTCTTGTATTATATAAATTACAGGTATCATATTCATATTGTGGATTATCATCACAACATCGCAAAAATACTTGTTTTTGTTTTATCAAATGACAAGTACTACATTTTTTAGTGTTTGAGATTTGGGCAGATGAACTACTTTCACTCATTTTGGTATTTGAAATGATTAGATAATAATTCGATTGATTCAATAATACTTTTTGCAAAATTTAAGTTTTTATTTTGAATTTTTTGAAGTTTTTGTAAGGTTGAAAACCACTATTTAAATAAATTTTTCAACTATATTTACTGCAACATTTTTTTACAGACATTTTTATTTTTTTATTTTACAATTGCTTGATTATATTAATTTAATAGCTTTTGAATACATACGTACATATATTCTAAATTTCTAAATAAGAAATAAAAAATATACAAATATATGAATAATTTCAGTAGTGCTTAAATATAATATCTCTATTAAATTTCTTTTTAGAGAGTAGTCATTTAATACGTATTAACCCAATTCTGCAGATATGTATTCTCTGCATGATTATGTTGACTCAATAATTTTTGAATATGTACGTACGTATGTACATATATACTTACATATATTTTAAATTCCTAACTAAAGAAAAAATATACTATGGGGTGTGGCAACTTAGTGAAGTTGGTAAGTTGTCGCACCCCAAGTGGCAGGACAAGAGTTCGAATCCCACTGGTGATGAAATTCGAATTTTACAGAATGTGTTACAGCAAACTGTATGTAATCTGATAGATCATCAGATCTGTAGATTTGGTTATACTAGCTTGTACTGGAAGATTATGGAACTATAGTGTAATGCAAGAGTTACACAAAACTTGAGTGAAGTGTTTGTGTAAATCTAAGGGCTGAGACACACAGAATCCCGCTTGGCAAGTCCTGAGTAGAAAAGTAGCACAGATCTTTGACGGTGTTATGTAAAGGATTATTACCAAAGATCCAGAAACTGGATGAGACCAAGGTGTTCAGCAAGGCACCATACCAACCAGGCCATTAGTGTATATCGAGGAGGGGTCTGCCTTTCCAGGCTATCAGGATTGGGAGTTTAGGGACTAGTGAAATGGTAGACGGTCTGTAAAGTGGGTGCTGAGATTTGGGTGAACTCTACAAAGGCAGTAGTAGGTAATGGTAGTGGCTTCAGCTCGCAAGTACTCATTCTTGGACTTGGCGTAAGTTACCAAAAGTTTAGATTAGCTGAATTGTAGGTATGGAAAGCTCTAACAATGATGCCTCGAGGATAAATTAGTTCTAAGGCTACGATACGTATCTGGAACTCTTGACTGACAAATATAACAGAGTGTTCTGGTAACACAAGGGAACAGTATACATTACAGAGGGTTTAAATAGATAATCCTCTAATTGGGTTATAGGTATAGCAACCTATAGTGTACAGTTATCTATATACAGACTATACTTAATTAGGTGTTTAAAAGGTACAGGTATGGCTAGAATGTATTCTCATCAGAATATACTTGTCTGGGGCCCCCTTGAAAAGGGCACCATATGATTCTATAAATCTGATAAAAGCAGGAAGCTAAAGAGGCTAACCTTGACTACAAAAAAAAATATATATATATAATCTTCCAATCTTGTTAATATTATCAAGATTACAAAGATTTTATTCTAATTAATTATTGAAAAACAATAGCCACTGCACAAATGAATTTTCAAATTTCTATCATCAGTAGATTTTGAACTTCCAACCTGCTAATATACTACTTGGGGTATGATAACTTAACTATTTTACTAAGTTACTATATCCTTCTAAATTTGTTATTATAATCTATAAGAAACTATAATTAGATACAAAACTCTGTAAAAAGTTTATATACAAGTATAAAATAAGATTAAGTAATTCTCAGAAAAGATCTAATTATAAAGTGCAAACATTATATATAATAATAATATTATAGAAAGTTCAAGTTATATAAAGATTATGCAAATAAGTTCTAAAAAATAAAACAATATTAATATTCTTATACTTTTAATTTAAGTATCACCAATTTTCTATACTTAACTTGTAAAGAACTTGCTTAAGAAAGTAATTATTAGATTGTGCAAATAAGTTCTAAACTAATATCATAGCTAGTGATTGAACCCAGGTTGGGTTAACCCAGATATACCTGGGTGGATCAGGTATTCGGGTTGTGATTGTGTCTACCTAGGTAGACTTGAATGGGTAGACCTGCGGGTTTACCTGGGTAGGCTTGGATAGGTTAACCTGCTGGTCTATCTGTGAACCAACCCATGAATCAACCTGCTGTAACCCACCTAGTATCACCACCAAAATCATATACATAATCATTCAAATTATTTATTTGAATTATTTATTTGAATTATTTATTTAAATTATTTATTTGAATTATTTATTTGAATTATTTATTTGAATTATTTATTCAAATTATTTATTTAAATTATTTATTCAAATTATTTATTCAAATTCTTTATTCAAATTATTTATTCAAATTATTTATTCAAATTATTTATTCAAATTGTTCATTCAAGATAAATTCACAACCGACATTCAAATTTGAATATTTAACTTTTTTTTAATACATATATAAAGCTTTAAGCCTGAATCTATGCTACCAGTAAAAGGTGCTTTTATTACATCTACTTCAAGTTTTTAGAAGCTCTTTTGCTTGCTCAAAATATTTAATATTGTCTACCATATTTTTAATAAATGAATATTTGATTCAATACTTCAAAGCCATTTATCTTGTTTTGGAAGATTATTAGACCTTTCAAGAACAATTGAGCGCCTAAAATATAATATTAGTAAACACAATATATACTAGTGAGAATTACAGAAATTTCTGAAGATACAAACAACACCCAAAGATTCCTATAATATTCAATTCGTAACTCTTTATTGCTGTTGACTTTCATTATTTTTTTAAATTCTCTTCTCAAGCTTAGTGACAGTTGCACCAATAGATAAATGAAATGGATTTGATTGTTATTATGATACTTTTATAGTGAACATATAAATAACAGTCTCTTTTTACAGAACTTACGATCTCAAGCATTAAAATACTTGCAAAAAAATTATCATTTTTTTCTAATTCATTATCATTTCACAGCTATCTTAAGATCACTATGCGTAATACGTTCTCCTTCAATATCCATAAGTTTTTTATACATTGTATGTTTAAGCTCTTCAGATTCTATAACATTTTCTTTTTTCTTAAAAAGATTGTTTAAAGTTTGATCTTTGCACTTTCTTTTTTGCTTTCATTTATGAGAGTTAAATACTCAAAGCATGTTTTTAATTATTTTGAAATGCAAAATGAGTTTCATAATTTGACAATGATGCGTAAATGCTTATTTTTTAAATTTTGATTATTATTAACCTAAAAATCATTTAAACAATTAAAATTAATTAGCAAAGCTAATTTTTTTTTTTTTTAAGTTACTACACAAAAGATCGTATATGAGACCCAGATTTGTTATATTCTACCGATTTTAAAATCTATAATAAATCTGAGTATAGTACACTTACAAAGATTCTGTAGTTTGTTCATATGTAGGTCTAATTCACAGTATATATTTATATCTTGTATTAATTTTTTTATTCTGATCAGGGTTTGATGAGTAATCTTTGTATCTGAGTAGACCCGTTGTTCTACCTAGGTTACCTGTGGGTAACCTGGATTGTACTTTTTAGAACAGGTACAATCACTAATCACAGTATTAGATTTAATTAAAAGTATAATATAATAGTAACTAAAACTGAAGTAGTATAAAAAATAATGAATATAAGAATATTTTGTAGCAAAAAATTAGTTATATCAAATTTAAAAACACTTTTAGTATTTATATAAAAGATTAGAATTGAAAGGTTTTAAATATAAAAACAAAGTACTTATCTAAAAAATAAGTAAAATATTTAAAATAATCAAGAAATATTAAGCTTATAATACTAATATACAAGCAAGTATAACAGTATTACAAAAGCATACAACTTTAGAATACTAATCAAGTTGAAATATCCAAGTTAGAAGTAATTAAAATTTTTTTTTGGTATTGAGGTAAGGACTTGCTCATATCTATATTAGTAATTTGAAAAATAATAACTATATAATAGTTTACCAATATTTCACTGATACATATTTTACTAACAACTATTTCTTTGCCAATTTTTTCCTTAACAAAACCATTTTTTTAACAACTATTTCTTTGACAATCATTTTTTTAATATAATTATTTTCTTTACAATTACTTTTTTAACATAAATTACTTTCTTAACAATGTTAGAAAAATGGTTATCAGTAAAATAGTTATTAAAAAAATAGTTTAATTAAAGAAAAAATTGTTAAAGAAATGAAATATATATAGTAAAATGTTAATAAACTCTATATGAAATATAGAAATACTACTATTTGTACAAGTACAAATAAAAACAAAAAGAATAGAAGCTTAGACATATTTATCTGTAATTTAAATCTACTAGAGTGGTTAAAGACTTATCTAAATTTTTAAAGATAAAATAAAGTTTAAAGTAATATTATATTTAATTTAGTGATTAAACCAAATATTAATTTTACTTTTAGCCTAGCCTATTAGAAAACAAACACCTAAATAAAAGTATAATTGGTCTGCTATTTTATATAGGCATGAATATATATAATTAATATGAAAATATTTTTTTCTATTAGTAGTTAATAATAAATCTTTTAGCTTAAAGTAAAGATATATTATTTGTTATTATTTTTTCTAATTAGAGAAATTTGTATAATAGAGAGTGTAGTAACTTAGTGAAGTTAGTAAATTGTCATACTCCAAGCAGCAAGACAAGAGTTCGATTCCTACTAGCGACAAAATTTAAATTTTACAGAAAGTATTATGACAGACTGTGTATAATCTGATAGATCATTAGATCTGTAGCTTTGGTTATTCTAGCTTGTACTGGAAGGCTATGAAATATTCAGTGTAATATATAAGTTATACAAAATCTAAGTAAAACAACTAGAGCTGGAGTATACAGAAGTCTGCTTGGCAAGTCCCAGTAGAGAGATAGCGCAGACTTTCGATGGTGTTATATAAAAAATTATCAACTAAAGAACTAAAAAACTGAATAGAACTAAAGTATTCAGCAAGGCATTATATCAACCAGACTACTAATAT